TAGCCATAAGTTACGGGTGGTGTGATTCCATCCTGGATTGTCGCTCGTACTGGAGTACCTGCTTCTACTCTGATCATTCCTTTGCACGCTGTCGTTTCTCCATGAACTTTACTGGGAGGCGCACCAAGCGTCTCCTCCGACTGGCAACTGAGAAATTGTCTTAGCCCTCGGTCAGGCAAACCTATCAAGACGCACTGCATACCGAACATTCGATGTCTTGTTCTAATGACACTGAGCTTCAGTGGAATAAGATTTCGGCCGCCATGCACGACACAGGAGCACCTGCTTTGGCACTATCAATGGTCACCGCACCAGTCACTGGATATCCGAGAGGTCAATGAACCTGTTGGAATCCAGAAGAAACTTCCCGGTTGGCTGTGAGTACAATGTGACTATACGGGCTATTAGGCGCGAAGTAAAGCAGGGTTTACGTGCTGAAAAGGAAGCCTGATGAACCAGTAGGGCTCAAGAAGTGGAGAAGGCAGGAGCAGTAGGTAATTACCGCAAACTCTTCCAGCTGATTCACACCACTGGTCCCAGGAAACCAGGCGTCAGTGAGACAATCAGAGACAGCGCGGGTGCGCTGATGCACAATATGGAGCACCGTATGGCTCGTTGGGCGGAACTCTTTCAACATCAGTTCATTTGGCTTCTTGCTCCCGGACCTCATCCTACTCAGGTGATGCGGGACGAGCCGTGGACGGTTAGTTTAGAGCCTCCATCGGAGGCCGAGGTCCAAAACACGATCACAGCCCTCAATCGTTTTCGTGCTGCTGGCCCGGATTCCTTCCCATCTGCACTATTTAAGCATGAAGGCGAAGTCCTCTGCAAAGCGCTTACCTCCCTGTTCGAAGGTATCTGGAAGGAATTGTCGCGCCTAATTAGAGTGAATCGATTATAATGGTAATATACGAGAAAGACAGTCGCATAGACTGTTCTAACCATAGAGGTGTTAACCTAACGCCAGTTGTGACAAAATTGCTGGCTTCGATTCTCGTTCGTCGCCTCACTGCGGAACGGGAATCTCGGATTAGGGAAGAACAGGCACGTTTCCGCTTAGTACGTGGCCGTATAGACCAAATATTCACTTTGCGGCAGGTGCTAGAGTAGCGCCACCGACAGTAGCGCCGACCGACAGTAGCAATGTTCCTCGGTTTTAAAAGTGCGTTCGATTCAGTCGATCGATCGATTCTGTTCGAAATACTTGCGCTGAAAGGTGTTTCCAGGAAGTATGTGAACATCCTTCGTGCTCTATACTCGAACACTGCAGGCCGCGTCAGGGTCTACGGTGTCCTATCGGATAGCTTTCCGACTACAAGTGGTGTTCGTCAGGGTTGTCCGATTTACCCATTTTTGTTCAGTTTCTTCGTGGAATGTTCCTTGCGGAGTCTCACAATCTAGGCGTTGAGGTCCTCTATGGTGAAAGTAGTTGATCTAGATTATGCGGACGATATCGTCTTGCTTTTCGACGATGCGGCGGCGACACAATCAACCCTGAATAGCCTGTCTAGAGTGGTCTCATTATTTGCTATGCACTTTGCACCTTCAAAGTGCAAAGTGTTGCTGTAGGACCACCAGCCATTTTACGACCCCTTGACTCTTGCTAACGAGTAACTCGAGGTGTTTGATCAACTCACTTATCTTGACAGCTGCATCAGCAACGATGGGCGCATAGGAACTGACGTCAGCTCACGCATTGTAAAGGCCAGGGCTGCCTTCTTGAACCTGCGGCATCTTTGGCAACAAAAGGGAGTTTTTCTTCGTCTGAAAGGCCGTGTATACAAGGCCACAGTGAGGGCCGTTCTGCTGTATGGTAGTGAAACTTGGCCCCTTCGGTCTGAAGATCTGAGGCGCCTTCATGTCTTTGATCATCGTTGTCTGCAAAGCATTGCTTGTGTCGGATGGCACCAGCGTGAACGCAGCGATGATATGCGTAGGCGACAACTATGTAGTGCTAATCATGTTAGCTCCTTAGAACAACAGATAGTACTGAATAAGTTGCGTTGGTTTGGGCACGTGCTACGTATGCCTGGTCACCGCTTACCTAGGAGGGCGTTGTTTAGTCTGCCAGGTGTAGGGTGGTGCAAGGCTCGAGGTGGACAGAAGTTGACTTGGCAGCGAGAAATGAAGTCACTGACAACCAAACTGGGTGCCGTTGGTCCGTCTCGCCTTCCGGGCTGGAGTTCACGCGACTCACCTTGTGCTTGGCTCGAGACTTTACAGGACATGGCTCGCAGTAGACACCCGTGGCAGTCTGCTGCCGTCTCCTAATCAGATTGTCTGTTTAAAGTATGTTTGATGCTGAGTTATCTGCGGGGTAATGGCTGATTATGACGCGTGGCAGTGAAAGCCGCAAGAAAGCTATCTCGCCGATGCCGCCTCATCTTGGCATGATAGCCAAGTGTTGATGACGGTATGTTGTCTACACAAGGTGTAGGCGCCTTGACTCTAAATGTTAGCTTATGACATTAATGGTTTCCCGTTAAGCACCCTTGTCTCCCGCTTATCATTCTTTATTTCAGGTCCTGATGGTTGTATGGGAGCGAAGCATCAGTTCAAGTGGCTGATGTACTGCTGTTGATGAGGATGACTGAAACTATTTCTCAATGTAAACCAGTATTATTCGCCTGGGCTTGATGGCATACATCCGTTGTCTCTTAAATCTCTAGCCGAGCACATTACTGCACCTGTCTGTCAGATATTCCGTCTGCCTTTTAATACCGGCCGTCTTCTGGCTGCTTGAAAATCAGGCATCAGCAAGCCTATATATAAAGGAGGAACCGGCATGATCTAGCGAATTATCATCCTATTTATTTGCTATCTGTAGCTTACAAAGGTATAGAACTGTCACTAAAACAAGTCCTCTGCCTCCATCTCGAAAAGTTAGCTTTTATCTTTTCTGCCTGACATGGATTTTGAAACGCTCCCTCATGCATCACAAGCTTGCTTGTGGCAATGGAGAAATGGGTAGTATCGCTCGATGTTGGCAAACGATTGGATGTTGTGTTTGTTGATTTTAAAAAGACTGTTGACAAGGTTCTGCATGAGCGGCTTCTTTTCAAGCTCCGCGGCATTGGCCTTGCCGTGAATTTTCTCTCCTGGATCTCCGATTTCCTAGACAGTTGCTCTGCGCAGGTAAGCTTGAATGATACGCTTTTTGATGCTTTTCCTTTGACATCAGCCATTTGAACTGATGCTTCGCTGTCATAACCATGAGGACCTTTGAAATAAAGAATAAGAAGAGAGAGTAGGGGTCTTACCAGAAAACTTTAATGCTTTAAATTAACATTCAGGGTCAAGGCGCCTACATCTTGTGTAGACAACATACCGTCACAAACAGCCGGCTATCGTGCAAAGATAAGGCGTCCCACAGGGTTCTGTCCTCGGCCATGTACTCTTCAATATCTTCGTCAACGATCTCCCGTCCGAGCTACGGACGGAATATTTGATTTATGCAGATGACTTATAAACTTGGATTGAGGTATCCAGTCTAAAGGATGCAAACCGGCTCCAAGAAACCATACAATGGCAGTTACTTATCGAGCGGGATAAATGCTCCATCCTCCCGATTGGTGCTCGTGAACCATTTGGGGTGTACCATATTGGAGGTTTCTTGTTTAGAAATGTCGCTCAAGAAATGGACCTCGGAGTGACTATGTCTCCATACCTCAAAATAACTGAGGACACCCGGAAAAGGGTCGCCTCTGCCTGCAGGATTTCTCATGCTTTAAGAAAGGCGTTCTTCCATCTTATTCCAGAGCTCTTCAGACTCCTGTTTACCTCACATGTACGCCCAATTCCTGAGTACGTTTTGCCAGCTGCCCATCCTTTCACGAAGACCGAATGCGACATGTTTGTGGTCCAACGGCATGGATCTAAATGTGTGTCAGAGCTGCGGTGCCTATCTTATTCTCACTCATCCTCTCTCTGGATTACCATCGTCGTCGCAGTGATTTGATCTACACATTTCACGTATCATAAGAGGAGAGCTAGGAAGCGAGTTACAGCAGTTCTTTCACCTGAACACTGAAAGTTCGACACGTGGTCACAGATGGAAAGTGTTCAAGTTGAAGAGATTCCATATGCGGTCAGGTCTAGCTCTATCCACTCGCGTGGTTAATGACTGGAACCGCCTTCCGGAGCTCGTCGTTGATGCGCAGTCCGAGGAAAGTTTCAAGAAACTGTTGGATTCCCACCTGCTACCTGCGCCTGGATATTGCTTCACAACATAGCCTTAAGATTCATTGTGGAGCCCTATTTTTGCAATGACCTCAGCAATGTTCGCAATGACTGGGGATCGACGGTGCTGACAAAGGACTCTCCTACTCTCCACCATACAATGATACAATGGCTCGGTCTCTTACTAGCTGGTTGTCATAATACAACCTACGAACTATCTACTTTTCTTTTCAGCCCCATCGGTTTCTGGTGACGAACGCAGAGGCATCCTGAATCCCGATTTGACACGCGTGTGACGTGGAGCCATCTCGATCTCACTGAGTTCGATTGTACTACCCTGAAGATTCCCCGTGACTAAATTATTTTAATATTAGTTTTCTTTTGTATTAGGGGATTAGGCGGTTTCCCTGTCTTAATGTTGTTCCCGTTTGTTTGAAACAAATACGACATCCGCCTTTGAACTGCGCTACTCGGACCGCGAACAACGCTCGTCCCCGCAATCGACACATTTCCACATCCTCCCTAGCTAGCCCTCCTTCGGTGCCCTATTTTTAGCATTAGCTAACTTTTCTTCCGTTCAATAAGCCTTTTCCCTAGCTTACTTTTTGTGTGTTCTATCGATTGCCTTTGGTTGGCCGTCTAGCATCGTACCAAATATATAGCGCACGATCGACGCGATATACTTTGTGATCCCGAAATTTTTTTAGTGAGTTTGTTCCTAATATTTCTTTTCAGATACGCCCTCATATCCCTTCTCTCCATCCCATATTTATTTTGCTCAGTTTTCGGCTTCGACTTTTCTGGTTCAGAACATTTTCGCTATGGTTATTCACCCAGATTCGGACGATCAGGTTAGTGGGTTCAGTCTCCCTATCCCACCTTTCCGAGAGACTAATCCCAAGGCCTAGTTTAATCAGCTAGAATCCATACTTTCGGTGCGTGGCGTTAGTTTTGACAGTATCAAATTTCACTGATGTCGTAACGCTTCCTCCGTAAGTCGTCGATGCTCTCGACGACATTTTTGAGCTTTCTGAATATCAGAAGACTTATGAAGAGCTTAAGGCCGTCGTTTTAAAGCGTTTCGGCATATCAGACCACGCTCGTGCTACACCGCTCCTTAACGAAACCAAACTAGGCGATCGAAAACCTCCGTTCCTGTACAAGATGCACATTCTAGTTAAGCCCCTCTCTGTTGGCGACTGTTTTCTTAAGAAGATTTGGCTTCGTCGCCTGCCACGTGACACACGTAACCCCCTGTATGCTAATGATGCATCTCTTTTCCAGCTCGCCATCATTGCCGACCGTATTTGGGAATACAACAGCCAAATTTCTCAGGTCCCGTCTGCATCCAGCACGGAGGTAGCAGAACTAAAATCGAAAGTAGCGACATTTACCAATCGAGTAGAGAACCTAACACGGTTCGGATCCAACCGCCGAAATCGTTTCAGATCACATTCGAAATTTCCGCCTAGGTCACCTTATTGCTGGTACCACGAGCAATTTGGTCGCCAGGCCAGATCTTGTCGCCCGCCGTTTCTTTAAACACCAGATGCAGGGAAACGGCCTGGCCAGCGCGTAGGAGTGACGGATGTTGCTGGCTGCCATAGTCACCTTTTCTTCGTCACTAATCGAAAAACAAGAGTTCGCTACTTGGTGGACACTGGTGCCGAAGTTCGCATCCTTCCTCGCGATAAGATAGACTCGAATGAGAAACCGATTAGTTCACTGCGGGCAGCCAAAGGAACGACCATTCTCGTTTACGGTCAACACCCCCTCACGCTTAATATAAACCTACGACCTTTTAAATGGATCTTCCCAGATGCCAATTTTTGGCGTCAAGTTTAAGCAGCACTTCCATTTGCTAGTTGACGCGATGCAACGCCCTCTGATCGATCGCCAAACAAATCTGGCAGTTATAGGTACTTTGACCGACATTGAGTCAATCAATACTGTCTACGCCAACCAATCGAACTTAGCTAATGGTCAGATGCTTCTAAGTAAATCCCCCCAAGTCATACATGTACCAGCACCTTGTCAATCCGCCACGGATGCTGCAAAGCAACACATCGTTACCAAGGGTTCGCCTATTTTCGCCAAAGCCGAGCGAATGACACCTGACAAGCTACAAATTGCTTTGCGCAGAATTCGAGCACATACTTGAACTAGGCACCGTTCGCCCCTCCAAAAGCCCGTGTGCATCGCCGCTCCTAGAAAGTCAGGAGGCTGGCGTTCATGTAGTGAGTACCGCGCGCTCAATTTTACTGTTCCCGACCGCCATTTTATTCCTCACATTCGGAACATCACGGCTAACCTGCGTGGCAACCGTGTGTTCTCGGAAATCGATCTGGTTCGCGCTTATCACTAGATACCAGTTGCTGAGAAAGACGTTCCGAAAACTGCCGTTATCACACTGTTTAGGCTTTTCGAGTTGTACGCATACCCGTTAGTCTTCGCAACGCAACCCAGACCTTCCAATGGTCCATAGGTTTCGTCCATCCCTACATGGGCGGTATCCTAGTGACAGGCGCTTTTGAAGAACAACACGCAGAATATCTCAAGATTCTTTTTTATAGGTTGACCGCTAATAGCATCACTGTCAACGCTGATAAATGCGTATTTCAGCAGCCTTCCCTTGAATTTCATGGCCACCATATCGATCAGCATGGCATACGGCCTCTAGACGATAGAGTGCACCATCGAAGACTTTCTGATCCCGACTACGTTAGCAGCTATTCGACGTTTTAACGGTATGCCCAACTATTATCGACGTTTTCTTGCACTGTGCCAGCTTGTTACCTCCACTAACCGACATACTTCGTGAACTTTAAAGCAGTTAGTTCCCTTCAGAAATTCGAAAAGCACGGTAAGAAGACGAAAACTGGTAAATGCATGCATTTCGTATTGTCTCCTCAGTACCATTAACAATAACCGGTATGCAATTATATACTTAAATATGCGTGTGACCGAATAAGCATGAAGTAAAAAATGAATGACGTAAGTTCCACCCCTATGTCCACGGCAGTCTTAGGCTGATAAATAATTGCTTTTGAACACACAGGGCCGGCTTATCGCAACGGCCTCGGCGAAACGAAGGAAGCGGGGATTAGGGTGACGTAATACAAGTGTGAACGCTGATCCGAGCTCTATCCGGTGACGCGTAGTCAGTAGGTGTTTACCTATTGAGGAAGCTGGCGGCTTGCGCAAGCACGGAACTTCAGTGGGACAGGGATGCTGGTCAAATTCACTTTGAACCCACCTTGATCAATTTAAGGAGCTTCAACCATCCAGTCCTGAGAGTGTTGTTTGGTTTAGAACCAAATTGACCGACATTGCCCACGAAGTTTACACTGTGTCAGTGACTGAAAAATGCGCACTTACAGGCCGACACCTTCAGGCGCTACGTGAATTGCGTACTAAGAACGTAGTTGTGATGGAACCGGATAAGAGCTCTGGAGTGGTGATCATGAACGAGGCCGAGTACGCTCAGCAAATGAGTAGCATACTCAACGACACGAGTAAATTTGTACGACTTAATAAGATGGAGAACGTATCCGACGTTGAAGCTAGCATAGCTGCCCATCTTGAAATGCTTCTCCTTCATCGCGTGATTGATAGTGACACCTATAATTGTTTGAAGCCAAGTGGAAGCACTACTCCGCAGCTATACAGGTCACCGAAGACGCACAAGAGTGGAGTACCACTTAGGCCGATTCTATCAATGGTAAATTCGCCGCAGCATAAATTGGCTCGCTGTCCAGTGAAGATACTCTACGACAACTGTCCAATCCATATAGTCTTAAAGATTCTTTTCAACTTATCGGTGACTTAGATGACATCAACCTCTCCGATAAGATCATGTGTTCCTTGGATGTGGGATCTCTATTCACCAACGTCCCACTACAACAAACTGTTGAATAGATATGTGAGCTAGCTGAGCACTCTAGTTATTCGTTACCAATTCCAGTCGAATTTCTAGAGGAACACTTACTGCTGTGTACAGCAAATGTTGACTTCCACTTTCGATGGTGTGGCCATGGGTAGCCCACTAGGCCCTGTACTTGCTGATTTCTTCATGCTGATGATAGAAAGAGGCATATCCACAGAAATAGCCCAGTTGCCATACTATAAGCGTTATGTTGATGACATATTGACCTTTTGTTCATCGGAGCAGCAGATTGTCCAGTTGGTGCAGCAACTCAACTGCGCACATACCAACTTGCGGGTCACCTGCGAAGTGGAACAGAAGAACTGTCTGTCATTCTTAGACATCCTCATCAGTCGCAGAGATGACGGGCTCATTAGAAGGTCTATCTACAGAAAAGCAACCTGGTCCGGCCAATACCTGCACTTCACCAGCTTCACACCAGTGCGGTACAAGCGGACCCTTGTGAAAACTTTAGTTAGTCGTGCAAGACGAATTTGCTCCGCTGATTGTCTAGCCGACGAGCTAGAGTTAATTACAACAACACTCGTTGCAAATGGTTATCCACGTAGATTTATAGAGAGACAGCCAACAGCGAAGCCCGAAAAACTTGGTGTATACGGCAGCCAAGAAAAAGATCTATATCGAGTTGCCATTCAAGCGTGACTTTACTGGATTGAAAACCACGAACCGTCTAATCTCTGCTACGCAGAGAAGTTACTGTGCCGCTCAGGTTGTGGTCATCAATAGAACCTGTAACTTGCCGGTGCCTCCAACGAAGGAAGCTCAACCGATAGGGGCCAACTCACACTGCATATACAAATTCGTATGCGACTGCGGAGACAATTACATAGGCAGAACCAATTGGTCTTTGACTTCCCGAATAAAGGAACACGTGCCGAGGTGCGTTCAACGTGAAATTGACCAGCATCCATGTCCCACTGAAGTTCCGTGCTTGCGCAAGCCGCCAGCTTCCTCAATAGGTAAACACCTACTGACTACGCGTCACCGGATAGAGCTCGGATCAGCGTTCACACTTGTATTACGTCACCCTAATCCCCGCTTCAGTCGTTTCGCCGAGGCCGTTGCGATAAGCCGGCCCTGTGTGTTCAAAAGCAATTATTTATCAGCCTAAGACTGCCGTGGACATAGGGGTGGAACTTACGTCATTCATTTTTTACTTCATGCTTATTCGGTCACACGCATATTTAAGTATATAATTGCATACCGGTTATCGTTAGTGGTACTGAGGAGACAATACGAAATGCATGCAGCTACTTCGTGAACGTCAAAACGGCCAGGTGGAATTGACTGCTGCCGCTTCCGAAGCGTTCAAGGCCAGCAAAGAGGTCTTAGCTAAATCCCTTATGCTTCACTATTTCGATTCGAACGCTTCACTCAGTGTCGCTGTTGACGCATCGGATACCACCGTTGGCGCCGTCTTACAGCAACTTACAGATGGATGCTAGAAACCGCTTGCTCTCTACTTTATACACCCACAACCTGCCGAAGTCAAGTACAGCACGTCCAGTCGCGAATTGGTGACCGTTTACTCTCCCGTTTGGCATTTCGGCACGTCATTGGAACATAGTATTTAATGGAAATAAAATCTCGAGTTTTACATGACCCACAGGGTAAAAAGAAGTTAGGGCCGAGTCTGATGAAAGACCAAGGAACCCTATAGTGGGTTGGACTCGCGTGTTAAACGTATCTTTATCGGGTTTGTGCGGCATTTGAACTGAATGCACGCTGGCTCAATGCGTGGCATCCAACCACGCCCTCCGAAACGCCTATGGAAGGGAATTAGGTAAGATAGAAAAGATTAACAGGAGAAAAATAACTTCGTCAAGCAGAGCGCAGTTGTCTCAGGGAAGATCGCGGTGTAGCTCGGCCAGGTAACAGTCCAGGCGGGTCTTAAAATCAGCCACA